CTCTAAGGTTTTTAACAGGAAGACAAAAAGGAAGAGGGAGTAGAGAGATTAAATCACACTTTTAAAAATTACAGTGAGAAATTTATTTTAAGTCTCAAAAAGGAAAAGGTGCATATGAATGATATGAATGCTTCAATAAAATGACATGTAGCCTGGCAAGTAATCTGGCACTCTGCTCCCTCTTTGTCACGATCAGTACAGCTACAAAAGTAGACAATTTTTAAGCTTTGGTGGGAGCCATATGTTAGGAGTTTTTGAATTAAAGAAAGAGAGAAGTCATGCACACCTCTAGGGAAAAACGAGAAGGCAGATCTGGAAGAATTTACACAGCCAAGAAATAACTGTAATAAGAATGGAGCATCAATCACAAATGACTTCAATTATTTTGTCATTGAGTGGAATGAGAGGATACAAAGGAGTAGAAAGATGACACGTTTCTTAAGCACGATAGGAATGTTTTTAGACACCAAATCAACATGAAATATTGGATGTCTATTTTCCATCACAACCAAATCTGTTTCAAGAAATTACACACTAAAAATTTTAATTCAAGTGTTATGACCATAATGAATTCCAACTCTTATCTCCCTCGTTAAGGGAGAATTGATATTTTAATTGATTAATTAGTTGTTGTTATGATAATGTTATTAATTGTAATAATTATAGTTCTGATTCTGCGAGCTATGTTACGCTCCTGGGCCTCTGTGATTGCAGAGGTCCCACTATGTTGCAGATACTTTGTGCGTAGGTGCAGGAGCCATCGTACAGGTAGGCAGGAGTACAGAGACTAGAATCAATACAACACAGCACTGCAAACCCTGACATTGTGGTAGATTATTGAAGTGGACTCCAAAATACCACAGAAGCAAGCCGATCCCTCCTTGTCACTTCACAATCTAAACTCTCTGGCTGTGTTTGTCTTCTCACAAAAAGTCTAAATACATGTGTGTATTTCCTAGGCCCAGGGGCAGGAGTAGAAGCACGTTTGGATGCTGATTCTAATTGCTGTATGAGATTTTCAAATGTTTCCTGTATTACTCTTACGACTGGCTGAACATTCTTGAATGATGTGGAGAACAGCTGACTGGTGGTTAAAAGATAGGTGAAAATATTTGTATCTGATTTTTCAAGGGAAGAACTGAAAGGGAAGTAGGGAAAATAGAGCGATTTTGTGATCAAATAGAGTAACAGACCTGGGCTACCTGATGGGAACATATATACACACACCCTATTATAGATTAGGACACTTATAAACCAGCATATTCTGTATTGGAGGGTTTTCCCCTAAAAAATAAGTATCTTAAGCATGCAGAAATAAGAAATGGCAGCTTAAGCATTAGCAGCCTTACATCATGGTAAATTGTCAAATGTTGGCAATTTATCTAATCTAACATCAAACCTGCAATAGTTTTGTAAATCAAGATTAACAGATCAAGTTTTCTCTTGAGAACACTCAACTTTTACCTTCAGCACACTGTGATGCCAATACATCAAACTGAAACATTGCTAGTGTATTAAGTGTTGGTGATAAAGTTCTTAATTGCTGTTATGAGGAACCTGTGACTTCACATTTGTATACTACCCACTAACAGACCTAACAGACATCCAGAATTTATTCTTTCTTTTCAAACATTCTAAGATTTGTCTCACAGGAAAGCAGTCCATTCTTCATATCAGTTACTCAGGTGAGGGCCAAAAATGCATGCTATTTGATAGGATAAAATTATTGTATCTCAAAGCAAGAAATTATGGTACAACCGAGAAGAAAACTCAGCTTTCTGCAATAATTCAGGGTAGCTCTGGAAAGTCTTGAAACCTTTGACTTCAAAGATATTCTGTTTTTAGAAAATAAATGTGACTCTGGTAGCTTTCAGGTAAGTTTAAATGTTTTTTCTGCTTTTTTTCTTTTTCTGAGGTTTGTGTGTTCAACGTGCTGAGATTTTACAGTTTAAAGGGTATGCAATACAGTTACTATAAAATGTTTTAAAGCTCTCTAAGAGACTAATATATTTAAAAATAGTATTTCTGTTTAAATGTGTCATAGAAGGAATACACGAAAAATGATGTGATCTATGAGTTTTATTAGATCTCACTTGTGATGGCCTGCTTTTTCATTTATGTGTAATGCATCTATCCAAACTTCTGCCAATAATATCTTATATACCAAAGCTTACACTATCACATACTGCACTGTCAGACTTGCACCATTATTCTCATGTCTCTCTCTCAGCAAATGAAATGAATAGTAATTTATTTTCTTGAACTAGGTGGAGGACAAGCATGTGCACAGAGATAAATTAAACCATCTCAATCATAAGTCCCAGTTGTAAGCAGCTGTGACCTCTCAGGGTTGGAAACTGTGGGCATAGAATGACCAGAAACTTAACAAAAAATAGTAAACCCAGATATTTTTACAACTAGACTCTAAAATGAAAAAAAAAAAAATTGCCATGGGGGATATGTATGAATATTTTGGGGAAATTCTGGAAATATTACAATATTTTGATTTTTTTCCTCTAATATCAGGAACGTGACATTTCACTATAAGCAACCCATAGCGTGCTTCACACTTGAAAAGAGTTTTAAAGTTCTCAGATACAGTAGCCAATTGCACAGAGGATCATAGAATACACCATATTTGACACCTAATATTTTATCCTCAGCAGCTAGATGCTAATGACTGAACATTGACAATTTGCAAATTCAGGGAACCGCCACCTCATTGGTATGATGAGTTCATATTTTCAGAATATCCATGTCCAATAATAACCACCAGTAACTACCTTTTAGAAGGAAGAAAAAATGTCATTCCATAAAACAAGGTATCAGCCTAAAACATAGACTGGCTGAAGTTCAAACTTGGAAATAGAAAAGCTAATGGAAGGTACTAGTGATATAAGGGTAGCTGTTGTTTTCTTTGTGAGAGTGCTGGTGATTTAGGAAATATGCATTTCCTAAAACAAAGAAATGTCTTTCTTTTGTTCTAAACGAGACACTTATGTGGTATATTTTTTTAAGTATTGCTGTCTGTACTTGCGGGTGACTTTCCCCGAAGTATTCCTCATGCAATAGTTCAACTAAAAGAAACTTTTGTGAGACTAATACAAGAGAATTCAATCAAGAGTCTGGCAGCCATCATAATTATGGAGTTTTAAATTACTATTGGTCTTTATAAACCTTGTAATGGGTAAATCAGCCTCCCTTGTGTTTGCTATAGAATTTTGTTATTTTTTTTTAATTTTCTACAATAAAACTATTAAAAGACTGTGAAAATTCATGGGAGCATGTGCAGTTTGGTTAGATTGTAAGGTGGTGAGATCTCTTGGGATCTGATCCTGCACTCTAGTGCAAAGGGACAAACCTCCAAGCTTCTGTAACTGCTGAAAACTGTGGTTCAGCAAAAACCGGTACCTACCTGCATGATGCTGCAAGACCAAAGATATATTTTAGCAACTCAAGATACTCAGCATCTACTGTTAAACTGAAGAAAACGGGAAGAATGTCTTTTCAGATCTCTATCAAAACATGGAGGTATTTTTAGGATCACAGCCACATCCTCTTGAGTGTTTTCATATTCATATTCTGAATTGGAGTCATACGAGGCCACTACATGTGTGAGTTGCCTTAAAATGAAGCCACAGCAAGGTAAAAGAGAATATCCTGTTAGTTTAGCTGGATGTCTGTCCATCACAAAGCGGAGTTTTAGCAGATGTAGGGGTAATACCAGATTTCATGGAAGTGCTCCTGTTAGCTCTGGGAAGACACAAGATCTGATTTTAATATTTTGTCATCAATGAAGCTCTGTTACCTGTTCTGTATGATCAGAGATTTTCTGAAAGAAAAACCTAACTCTGAACAACAGCAAAGGAAATAGAGGAACTTCAGTGCAGGCATGAAGAGAGCAGAACTGGCTTTGGTTTGTGTAATGAGCTTTCACTATACTTGGCAAGAAGATCTCCTGTGATTTTATTGGACGTTCCTGCAGCCTCTAGCTACTGATGTTATTGGCTCTCTACTAAATATCTAGGAAGCAAAGGCAGCAAAATGTTTAACCAGCTTTAACAACTCAATTGTTTAAGTAGTTTTTGGTACTATGCAAACCCAGGGCTGAAGCCCTAGAGCACATTCAGCTTCTGTGAAGCCATCATGCAGATGTCAACCTTTGTAACTGGTGTGTGCAATAACGCATGTATTATGTATATATCTTAGCTGCTTCTGGCTTTTCTTTACTATTTGTTAATTACTATGAGATATATATTTTACAGGTAAAGGAAACTGTAAAAGTCCAGATTCTGTGTTCGTAATGCTCTAACACTGATAGAAGGCTCCAGGGTCATTTTATAGCAGCCTTCCAGTACCTAAAGGGAACCTACAGGAAAGCTGGAGAGGGACTTTTTGCAAGGGTGTCTAGTGATAGGGCAAGGGGCAATGGCTTTAAACTGAAAGAGGGTAGATTTAGATTAGATATAAGGAAGAAATTTTTTACCACAAGGACGGTGAAACCCTGCAACAGGTTGCCCAGAGAAGTTGTGGATGCCCCATCCCTGGAAGTGTTCAAGGCCAGGTTGGATGAGGCTTTGAGGAACCTGGTATAGTGGAGGGTGTCCCTGCCTGTGGCAGGGGGATTGGAACTAGATGATCTTTAAGGTCTCTTCCAAACAAACCATTCTATGATTCTATGAACTGTCATGATAGCTGTGTGAGTGTTCAGCATATCAGGATATAAGGGGGGAACGGGATAAAACCAGGCTCACTAGAGATAAGCCTGAGGCTGGCACGCCATTCTTTGAGGGATGGTGTGCTAGCAACATCCTCTGATCTGCCATGTCAATGGAGGTAGGGGATGGAGATCCATGCAGCAATAAAGATGTAAGAGATATTGATGTGATCGAAACCACAGAAGTGCCTGAGAACAGTCATGTAGGAATTAGGGCTTCTCCCCTCAAAAAGGTGGCAGCATCAATAACCCACTGAAGTGCATTTATGCCAATGCATCCAGCATGGGTGACAAACAGGAGGAACAGGAAGCCATCGTGCTGCAGGAAAACTGTGATAGAGTTGCCATGATGGAAACATGGTGGGATGACTCGCACACTGGACTGGTGCAGTGGGTGGTTATAAAGTCTTCTGAAGGGATAGGCAAGGAAGGAGAGGCGTTGGGGTGGTCCTGTATGTTAGGGAATATTTTGATTTTCTAGAGCTTAATAAAAGTGGCGATAGGGTTGAGTGTTTATGGGTAAGAATCAGGGGGAAGGCCAGCAAGGCAGATCTTGTGGTGGGAGTCTGTTATAGAGCACCCAACAAGGATGAAGACAGATGAAATATTCTGTAAGCAGTTGGGAGAAGTCTCACAATCACTAGCCTTGTTCTCATAGGGTACTTCAACTTATCAGATGTCTGCTGGAAATACAATACAGCAGAGAGGAAACAGTCCAGGAGGTTCCTGGAATGTGTGGAATATAACTTTCTGACACAGCTAGTGAATGAGCAACTAGGGAAGGCACCCCGTTGGACCTGTTATTTGTGAACAGAGAAGGACTTGTGGGTGATGTGATGGTTGGAGGCTGCCTTGGGCCTAGTGATCACAAAATTATTTCAGTTCTTGGAGAATTAAGGAAGGGGGCCAGCTGAACTCACACCTCGGACTTCAAAGGGCAGACATTGGCCTGCTTAGGAGCCTGGTTGACAGAGTCCTAGTGATCACAAAATTATTTCAGTTCTTGGAGAATTAAGGAAGGGGGCCAGCTGAACTCACACCTCGGACTTCAAAGGGCAGACATTGGCCTGCTTAGGAGCCTGGTTGACAGAGTCCCTGAAGAGGCAAACCTGAAGGGCGGAGGAGTCCAGGAAGGCTGGACATTCTTCAAGAAGGAAATCTTAAAGACGCAAGAGCAGGCTGTCCCCATGTGCTGAAAGACGAGCTGGTGGGGAAGACGACCAGCCTGGCTGAACAAAGAGCTTTGGCTGGAAGTCAGGGGAAAAAAGGAGTTTGTGACCTTTGGAAGGAGGGGCAGGCAACTCGGGAGGACTACAAGGATGTTGTGAGGTTATGCAGGGAGAAAATTAGAAGGGCCAAAGCCCAGCTGCTACTTAACTTGGATACTACTGTAAAAGACAATAAAAAATGTTTCTATAAATAGATTAACAGCAAAAGAAAGGCTAAGGAGAATCTCCATCCTTTATTGCATATGTGAGGAAACATGGTGACAAAGGATGAAGAAAAGGCTGAGAAACTTAATGCCTTTTATGCCTCAGGCTTTAATAGTAAGACCATTTGTTTTCTGGGTACCTAGCCCCCTGAGCTGGAAGACAGGGACAGGGAGCAGAATGAAGCCCCTATGATCCAAAGAAAAATGGTTAGTGACCTGTTATACCACTTAGACACACACAAGTCTATGGGGCTGGATGAGATCCACGCAAGGGTACTCGGGGAGCTGACGGAAGTGCTCAACAAGCCACTTTCCGTCATTTATCAGCAGTCCTGGCTAATCAGGGAATATGAGCCAGCAGTGTGCCTGGATGGCCAAGAAGGCCAATAACATCCTGGCTTGTATCCGAAATAGTGTGGCCAACTAGGGAAGCGATTGTTCCCTTGTACTCAGCACTGGTGAGGCCACACCTTGAATACTGTGTTCAGTTTTCGGTCCCACACTATAAGGAAGACGTTGAGGTGCTGGAGTGTGTCCAAAGGGCAACGCAGCTGGTGAAGGTTCTAGAGCACAAGTCTTACGAGGAGCAGCTGAGGGAACTGGGGTTGTTTAGCCTGGAGAAAAGGAGACTGAGGGGAGACCTTATCACTCTCTACAACTACCTGAAAGGAAGTTGTAGTGAGGTGGGTGTTGGTCTCTTCTCCCAAGTAACAAGCAAAGGACAAGAGGAAACAGCCTCAAATTGCACCAGGGGAGGATTAGATTGGATATTAGGAAAAAGTTCTTCACCAAAAGGGTTATCGAGCATTGGAACAGGCTGCCCATGGAAGTGGTTGAGTCACTGTCCCTGGAAGTATTTAAAAGATGTGTAGTTGTGGTGCTTAGTGGTGGACTTGGCAGTGTTATGTTAATGGTTGGACTTGATGAACTTAAAGGTCTTTTCTAACCTAAACTATTCTATGATTTTATGATATCTTAAATCAGAGAGATTATAATAGGTATCTTTGTAGATCTCATAACAGTGTTATGAAGAATATTGTCACTGGAACACAAGGCATTAGATATTATGAGGAAATATTATTATGAACATAAACACATGAAAATGTGCTTATTTAAAAATGGATATAAGAATTCTATAAAAAAAATAAGCATCAAAGGGAATCAAGGAACCTACCAAGCTTGAGCAGTTAGCCAATGGTGGCATTCCTACTCAAATTCACCCAGCATCTCTGTCTAAAAAACTCAAAATTTGATGGGAGTAGTAGTAGAGGTTCAAACTCGCCTATTTCATGTCCTTGGAGATGCTCTGCTGCTTGTTTCCTATGGCCATGCCTGTATGGTAGGTGAGATAGGTTTTAAAAAAGTAGTTTAGCCTAGAAAGTTGTGATAAACAGGTTATCTTTTCTTTGTAGACCAGAAATCATCCGTTATAAATTTTTTGTCTCATATATATTGAAAGCATCATGTAAAGGAACTTGCTAAGTTACACTGAAACAAGAGGTGAACCTTCTACTCAGCTCTTTGAAGGGGGCTTCAAAGTAGTTTTTAGTCAAATTAAGGTCCAAATAAGAAATACAAGTTTATGGTGCATCTCTCTCATTTTTGGATCCCACTCTTCCAAGAGGAACACACCTGGTTATCATTAAATGTGTAAGTAAGCGTGTTACAGGCATGAGGATATTTGCATATTTTAAACTATTTGTCTTTGTAATACTTTTAAAGACTGCGAATTTTGATCTTTTCATAAAAGTGCTTGCTTTTTCCTACTTTCTATGCTATTTTATTTGCCTCCAAGTCAACCACTGGGTTGGTTGTAGCTTTCCCAGTGTGGAGGCTTGAATAGATTTTCAACCATTGCAGATTTGTATCTTTACATATGCACTGGACTTTAACTATAAAAATAACATAATTATAAAAGTCTGAATAATTTCTTCTGTTTTAACAAACCTAGACTGATACCCTTATTATATATAAAAGAATAACAGTTCTCGTACTTGAACTATTCTACCTGTACTTGATTTTATTTTAAATAGAATACCTCACAGTAAGCAATATTTGTATCACTTAAAAATCAAATCCCATTGATTTAATTTGGTTATGTGTAGTAAGATTTTCAGGAACAAAAGGGAGACTCGAAATAAGAGTTGCACAGCTATGGAATCAGTACTTGTCTTGTACAGTTGTATTCATGTTTTAACAGCTTGAATGTAGCAGGGAGTGCTTTCTTAGATTTCTCAGTGGAGTGACAAGTAGAAGTAGTAGTAACATCCTAGCATTTTTATAAAAATGCCACAGAAAATGGTAAATTTTTATTATGAAATTCAGATGCAAAGTTGTGATTGAGTAACCTAAAATGAAAATGAGCTGTTATAGCAGTGTAATAGACAAGAAATAGGTCAAAGGCCTTCACCTGCAAACCTTCATTTGAAGGCCTTTTCCTGTAAATGTTCATTTGACTGGCTGTAATTTACATAGTAATCCCATTAGGAACCATTGAGCTCGCTTGTATGAGTACTGACAACCTACCTGAGAATGCTTTTTAAGATGTATAGTAAAAAGCAGGGGAAATAAATAATTCCAGCAGTTCAAGGGCAGAAACATTTTCCTTAGTCTGAATTTCATCTGAATTGTTGGTAGCCTTCATGTTCTGCATTTGGCTGCAAACCCGAGCAGATCCAGGTGTAAAAGCTGCCCTGGTATGTCGCAAATTGCCACTCGCTGAGAGCTAGAAAAAATACATCTTCCAACTTTAGGAAAAGATGTATTCAGTAGGACTAAGCACACCCATGGACTGGAAAGAAAGCAGGAGTAATGGCTTCTTTTGGGAAGTATAAGGTGATGGTGTAGACTGCTGGTTGAGAAGGAATGTCTGGACAGATGTTTCTGAAATATAATTTGTCATAGTGCTAGGAATGGAAGACAACATACTGAATCAGTTGTGTGGGATATAAGATAGTCTTCTGGACAGTTGAAATAGAAGAAAGTTTCTTTTGACAGTTGTTATTTCTTAGGATTGTAATTTTGGGGCAGGGTCCAGAAGACTACAAATGTTTTACTTTATAACACAGACTTCAATGAAAGGAGATGGGTTTTTTCTTGTCCTATGAAGTGTTTCACCTTTCACATGAGCATTGTTTTCTCTTCTTTCCTTTTACCAGAGTAATTTCTTTGTTCTCTCAATAGCGTTGTGTTTCTATCCAGAGGCTGACCTTTGTTGTGCGATGGGCAAATAGGACAGTGTGGTGTTTGTGTGCAGCGTAGTAAATAATCAGAAATGAGTGTTTGCGTTTTCTTAGACTAATTATTTCTCTTTTAATGGTACAACATTTCTGTTGCTTAGATTGGTGAACCTTCAGGGGGACTCATGAGCACGAGCTATGAGAGCGAATTGTTCTTAACATGCCATTTTCCACACAAATTATTCCAGCACAAATTTCAGAATAACTGTTTGGAGCTCATCAGTCGGCTTTGACAGGCTAGATCCTTAGAGCGTGACATTTCTTTCTGACTGATGTTCCTGAAGGTTGCCAAGAGGTGTAAGAGCATGTGATGCTATAGTGGGAACAGTCAGGAGTGGTAGCTCCTCTGAGGTAGGTGGAGTTATTGTAAAAGTCTCATACATAATGGTCTGAAAATAAAGGGAAGATCTATATGCTCAAAGCCTACCTGAGCAGGAGCTGTGGTAGAAAGCCAGGTACCTGGTGAGTCAAGCTGCTAAAACCATGAAGTCTCCTGGCTGTATCTGTTCAGCTTTTAAGAGGTGTCCTTGAGCTGTCTTGAGTTCACAGAGCCAAGTGGTTTGAGCCAATTGTAATCACAGTGCCTATAAGGACAAGGTTCAGGTGTAAGCCCATTTCTAGTTTGGTCCAAGTTTGCTGGCCTGAAGCATTGGTGACTTTTCAGACTAGGACCACAGCATGAACCACTGTGGAGGTAGTTTGGGTACTACTGTGAATTGCAAACTAATGTGACAGGATAATATACGATACAGCCTTTGAGACCATATCCCTAGGATGTTGT